ACACACACACACACACACACACACACACACACACACACACACACACAGCCACTGGCACCCTGGGACAATGACGTCACAGCTTTTCCTGTGTGTGGGAGGGGGGGGGGGCGAGAGAGTGGTGATGTCAGGGCCACCGACGCTGACATCATGGACTTCCTTCCCTCATTAGTGACTAATTATGCAGAGATACAAGTGGTGCATATAAGGAAAGGAGGGGCAGCACACAGACTATAAATAATCCTTTATCTCTCTCTGATACAAGAGCGTTAACACACGTAAGAACACAGAACAGAGGTGTTCAGGGTGTGGCTGAGAGCGGAGGAGAGGTGGACATCCGTTTTTTTAAGTGATGTCATTGGTTTCGGTGGGAAATGTTGCCAAATCACGCGGGAATCAAAGAGAGTAGCCAGTAGTGTGAATTTATGGATTTCTTTTGATTTTGTATATATCAGTGATATCTTATTGTGTGTTGTTGGTTTGGTTCCTACTGTTTGACTTTCTGTTGGTGCACGTTTTTGTCTTTACCTGGGTAGCCACCGTCATAACGGCTGAATTCTTATATTATATATATTAGATTCAGTTTTGTCTTTTCCCAGAAAGATCTTTATAGTGTCCCACCACAATACTTACCCTAACATTATAAAGTATATAAATTACTATGATGTTCAATGTACTATTTTAAATTGAATTTAAAGGAAACTGAACTCCATTTACGTCACAAACAAACACTATCAAACGTATAGTGAATATCTCTGAGGACACTATCGATAATGTTGAATTCAAGAAATATTATAATACATAATATAATATATAATAATATAGTTAATAGTGGAGCACGGTCAGCTTCACTCAGTACTTTTTCTGGCGTGAGGGTAGAAAACACTCAATGGCTTGAATCAGCATCCAAGACCCCAGGAGTGACGTAAAGGTGGATCAGTGTTCTCTCTGTACAGCACACAGCTATGTATCTCACGCTGTGTAACGTACCTCACACCCCAACAATAACAAACTGTGCCATGCGGGTGTTTCGCAGCTCAAAGCATCGTCTCCTCCCCTCTAAAGCACCTCCTGCGTGTGAAGGAGAGCGCGGCCAAACGCCCCCTCAGCGCGGCAGAGGCAGGGTCATGGCGGGCCCCGGGGGGGCCCGGGTAAACACTGGCCAATCCAGCCAACACAAGCGCCACACTGGGTTGTGCAAGGCAGCAGCGTGGGACATCTGGCCACATCACAGCTCAGCGTTCCTGCTTTATGAGCGACGACGGCCGTAACTCTGAGAATAGAAGTGGCGGGAGTAAACCCAATGGCCCGCTGCAGTAATGCTGACTGTGGAAAAAGGGAGGATGAAGATGTGAAATGAAGCAAGAGAGAGAGGAAGAAAAAGGAAAAGAAAGGAATGGAAAGATAGAAGCAGAGTCAGAGACAGAGATGAAAAAGAGCTGACGAGGGACCAAAAGGCTAAGGGAGTGTTACAGAGGGAGCGGAGAGCTTTGCCCTTATAAGGTCATTGTGTGGAAAAGGACACACTCCGATTTCATAGTTTCAGTTTGTTTATCTCGAGAGCTCCAACTAATGATTACTTTCATGATCAGTAACTCTGATCGATCGACTGATTTATCGTAAATCGCAAATATTGTTTTAGATTCACTTTCTGTTGATCTCCATGGCTCCTCCCGTCATCCAGCCCATTCTTTCTTCCGCATCACACATCCTTCCCAGGACGGACTAGCTGTCCCTTACAAGACCTCGGACGGCGACCACACCGTCTCTGCTGAGCTGGCTGTAAGAGCGCACCGGTTCCCACACCTATCTATCTGTGGTAACCCATTAGGGTTTACTGGCTGACCCCTGAACCTCGGCCGGGGTCGCGGCCGGGGCCTTCATTATTGGATAAATCATAAACACCTGAGCGGCTGACCTGGGCTCAGCGCTGGGGCTGCAGTCATGTGGTATTCATTTTTGGGTCGCGGTGGCGTGTAAATCGGGTTAAACCAGCGCCTGCGACCCTCGGGGCTCAGGGCGCATATTAAAAACATGACCACAAACGACTTACTATGTGTCAGAATGCGTGCGATTGTGTGTCAAGTGGTTATGAGGGACCTGGCTCCACCAATAAATGAATATGACTTTATATAGAGCATGTAATTGAATACTTGTAATTGTACAAAATCCAACAATGGTTTACCTTCTGCTGAACGGTTTTTATTGTGGATTCAGCCTGTTGCTCTCGACAGGTGATGTAATTTTTTCCACAACCAGAATAGATCATCTAGTTTGTCAATCTGATAAAACATATTGGCAGATTTTTGACTGCAAAAAATAAGCTTATTTTCTTGTTTGGAATTATTCCATTCAGTTAAAAGTTAAATGTTTTCTGAATAAAGTGGTGATCCTCTTTTTTTTACAACTCCTGCCTGATCATTATAAACAACAGATGGCACACAGGAATACTTCAATATATAAAAAACCTTCGCCAGCAGTTTAATGAAAACATTGCTCAGCCCTAATGTGACCTTTAATACGGCTCTTTGAGCAGCACATACTCCTGTCTTCTCCTCTATTACTATCAGATGCTCCTCCAAAATCTCATTTCCACGCTGTAGGACAAGAAACTGCTTTGTGGGGACGTTGAACAGCAGTATGCGTGTCGTGCTGCGAGCTCACCTCTCCTCGGGCTCTCGTGGTTAAAGAGGATCCCGTTGACGGCGAACATGTTGTAGGCCTCTCGAAAGTTCACTACGATCCAGTAGGCGTAGAGCTTCGCGGCACCTGAGAGGAGAGGCGACGGACACATTAGCACCAGAAAAAAAGGGGGGGGGAGAGACATCACTTCACACAAAAAACAAACAAGCACAAGCAGACCTTTCACACACATTTTATTCACTAAATCGACAAAGGAAACTTTCACACAGCTATTAGCGTGGTTCAGTGATACGGAGTGACAACCTAAGTAGAGAGAAAGAGAGAGAAGCACTGATCCTCTCTTCCCAGAGCTGCAGAGAGAAAGATCGTAAGTACACTGCATGTCACATTTGAACACAGCGGTACCGCAGATCATATTTCAACGTCAGGAACGCGAGCCGCAGACTCCTGCTGATTGACCGAAAGCAGGCTTGCACAAAAAGTTCTCCCCTCTTTTCCTCTTACTATCTTCCTCCTCCTCCTCCTCCTCCCTCCTCCCTCCTCCTCCGATGAGGGGAATACCAGAGCAAGCAAAGGGAGGCGCCCGTTGATTAAGCAGTAGGTCAGGATGTACACTGGAGGTGACGGGAGGGCGCCATGACCCCCCCCCCCATCCCAAGTCTAATTAATAGAGGAGCAGCCCTCCTCGGGATGGTATGTGTCTCCCATGCAGCGTCAGATTGAGTGCTGACAGATGGGGAAAGTGTCAGCGAGGAGAGCATTTAGACAACAGAGAACATGAAACCTGATCGCTCACACACGTGTACAGCATGCCTGACTGTGTGTGTGTGTGTGTGTGTGTGTGTGTGTGTGTGTGTGTGTGTGTGTGTGTGTCGAAAGTGAGTGCTGAGTGCTGAGGGTATAAAGGTGTCTTTGTTAAAGTGAGAGCCACTCCAGTCTTCAGTCAGACAATTTGGCCTCGGGGTGTGCAGAGAGCTCAACTGCTGCCTGAGCACTGAAGCCCCCCCCTTCTATTTCACTCACTCAATAACACACACGCACACACACACAGTGCTGCGAGGTATCAAGCAATCTGTGTTTGTATGCCCTTACATGGCCATAGGCAATGGTTTGAAGAACGGTGCAAGGTAGAAAATGTTAGGTAATCCGTGTGTGTGTGTGCGTTTCCACATGGATCTACAGTACATTGCGTAGATCCATGTGTGTGTGTGTGTGTGCGTGTGTGTGTGTGTGTGTGTGTGTGTGTGTGTGTGTATGTTACCGTAAGGTGAGCGAGGGTAGAAGGGAGTGGTTTCCTTCTGAGGGATCTCCTGGACTTTGCCGTAAAGCTCGCTAGTGGAGGCCTGGTAGAATTTGACGCTGTTCGTCAGACCGCACGTCTTCACGGCGTCCAGGAGACGAAGCGTACCGATGCCGTCCACGTTAGCGGTGTACTCGGCCAAGTCGAAGGAGATCTGAGAGAGAGAGGGAGAGAGGAAAAGAAAGGGAGAGATTATTAAGGGACCTTTGGTAGGAAGATTTCCTCTACTTATTAACAACAACTCTGTAAAGGATTAATAGTATTTTCTGTCGACTTCAGAAGAGAAATAAAAAAGTGGAGTATGAGAATGGACTCCTGTCTTTTGGTACCTACATTTCAAAAATGAGGACTTGAGACTTGACTGTGACTTGAGACTGATCAAAAATTGAAAGCAGAAATAATTCAACTCTTGACCTTCCTGGAACAAGACGAAAATAATACTGCAGTCTGACAGTCAGGCCTGGCATTGCGGAACGTCATTGGAGAAGGTGTTGTTTCTGGAGTCCATCAGAACCGATCAGAAAGCTCATTCCTCAAACTAAACACTCCAACTCCCAGAATGCCCGTTTCCACTGCTGAGGGCCAAGAGGGGAGGGAACTTAATGAACACTTGGGATGGGGGGGGGAATTAACTTTAAATGAGAAATGGATGTGCGTGTGCACGACTGTGTGCCGTGAGACACCGTGCACTTAGACTGTGTGTGTGTGTGCAAGCGGCCAGGACGGCCTCAGGCTCCAAATCAGCCGTGCTGGTTAGTGGTCACCACACCTGGAGCCAGCGGCATGAGCCCCGTCTGTACGGAGGAAACGCGGTGGCCCTTTAGTGCTTCCACGTCAGCGCTGCACACTCAGCCAGATAAAGACCCCTTATGTAAAGCTGGGGCCGAAGAACACTGGGCCTCTATTCCACTCAAAGTCCACACATGCACTGACGCACACACACACACACACACACACACACATAGCAGGTTTGATCAGGTTCAATTAAACTCAACAGCTCGGTGTAATTACCGGTGACGCTCCACTCACTTTGCATTCTCCATTTACATCTACAAGTGAAAGTGAGGGGACACCTTATACGCCTGCATATACTGTATGTCACATTATAACGAGTTACACAGCAAACACAAGAGGTGAACGCAGTAACGGCAATACCTGTGCAATAGAATCCAGCCTAGAAATCACTACAAGCTTAAAAAGTGACAGTTGAATGAACGCACTAAAGGTAAACTGTAATCTATCCAGATGTCAGAGGGAGGTTTGACTAACTGTTGACCAAACAGCCTCAAAATGCTTTGTGTGCAGCTACCTCCAGGTACAGAAATATAGAAATAAGAAACGAAATTTTGGCAGGTGTCGTCCATTTTCAGTAAGAAAAATGAATTGGGATTTCCCCAAAAATCCCAATTCTTCATGAAGGAAGTCTAGACTTAGAGACTATAGAGCGCAGCAAAAGTAGGTCAATGTGGACTGGTTCTGATGTAAGGAGTTTAATACATCTATTTTGAGCAGACCTCAATCCAGCAGTTAGTTATATATATATATATAGTCATATTATCTAGACAATATTCAATTTATCCAGTTATTTTTTAGTCTTTTAATCTTAAAGCAAAAAAGAAAAAATTCATTCATGATCCTAAAACAATTCTTTAAAACAAATCTTCATGACTGACCATGAGCAAAAACAACCAGAAATATTTCATCTCTAATGATCAACAACGGGGAACTCTTGTCTGGTAATATATCGTGAAAAATAACAAAAGATCTCAATGTATGTATTTACTGAATACTTGTTCCAGCACCACGATTAAATCATTGCAGAAGAAGAGGGCGCAACAAGATCCAACCTTCAAACGGTGGGAAACAATGTAGAAAACGTGATAGAAATATTGAGTCTTGTATTGATGTGAGGAGCATTAACGCTCTGGACAGATATGATGATTTCGTCTCTGCAGTGGACCTTGAAGTCACACGCTTCATGCGTGTCAGGATATATTTGCTAAGACTGTTTCCTTTGTTTGTTTGTTCAAATGTTCAGCATTTCCACTCAGTCACGACACTAAACACTACATTCTCACCGCTGAGTATTGAACAAGTCAAGTTGCGTTAACACAGAGGACACATTTGTAATCTTGTATACTTATTCTTTTAATCAGAAAGTTCCCAATTTTGATCATGAACGTTGCTAATTGTATTTAATTAAAGCAAAACTCTTAGTCAATTCTTTTGACACCTTTTGACAATTTCAGCTTCTTTTGTAAAATGAAAAATCAGGTTTTTGTCCCAAAAAAAACTGTTAATGCTTCCCGTATAAAGTACTCTCCGATATTGACGTTTTGAATTCAATGTAAATGCATCATGTCGGAGTTCTTCTGGTCAGGACTAGTGCTGGAGCATATCGATGAAGCCTGAACCTGAAACAGACAATACCCGCTTTCATGTTCAGCTCTCTCGGGTCCACCTCCAGCCCTCCAGCACCCCACCCCCCCTCCTCCACCTCTTCCTTCCTTACACATTGCTCCTCCTGCTTCGTCACTGCTCACTCTCCCTGGACCTCATAAACCTTATTTTATGCTACTATAGCACCTTCCTGACCGACACCCCGTTTCTATCCTGCTGTCTGTGTGCGAGTCCCTCCATTCCACACACATGAAGAGGTCTGCAACACACACACACACACACACACACACACACACACACACACACACACACACACACACACAGACTCTTGGTATCAAAACCAGCTGAGAGGGGCAGGGTCGAGGACGCCTTGACAAGTTAAATCAAACAAATTGCCTTAATGCCTCCATTCTCTGTCATTATGTAAGGCAGGGCCTGAGCGCTGACGGTTTAAAGGCCAGACATTTGTGTACACCTCTCTGTGTGTGTGTGTGTGTGTGTGTGTGTGTGTGTGTGTGTGTGTGTGTGTGTGTGTGTGTGTGTCTGTGGACTGCTGGGCCCCTCGGTCGACCTGGCAGATATTGTTCTGTTCTTGGAAGTCAGCCAGGCTCTGTCAGCATTGGGGGTCCGCCGCCAACCCGGGAAAAAAAAAAAAAAAAAAAAAAAGCGATCTGTTTAAAAGGCTTCTAAATGTACAGGGTACACGCGTTTCATTTCTTTCCTGCTCACACACGGCCTGTTGAAATGCATGCTTGGAACTGGGGAATGCGACTCTGTGTGCGTGTGTGTGCACGTGTGTGTGCGCTCGCTCACATACAGCAGAGTGTTGGTGTGTGTCTTGACAGATGTATAAATATGAGCTACATTTATTCAGCCGTGGCCTCCCTCTGCATACCTGCATGGCCTTCCACACACGGGGTAATGCGAAGGCATTAAACTGCATATACACACAGTGGTGAAGGAATGGAGAGCTCTATTGTGCAATCAGAAAAAAGAGCGCAAGTCAATCAGTCAAGAGCACAGAAGCAACGTTTGTGAGGTGATGCACCGATACACATAACCTTGTACACATATAAGGTTATTAAAGGAGTAACCCTATTCACAGCATTTTAATCAATTTGACCAATTTTTACGATTGATTAATTCAGTAAAGAATATTTTTGGTGATCTTCAGAATATTATCATTATCTTTATATCGTTACACGTCTGTAATATGACAGAAAGAATATTTTTTTGGGCAATGTACTATGAAAATGTTCCTATTTTGGCTATTTTGCATGATAATTATGTTTTAAAAAATATTAATCCCCCAATTTGACTTCTGCTTATAAATCATATTAGTGATGAATCTGATGATAACCCTAAATATGAATGCAGTTAATCTGGAGCACATTAGCTTCTTTCTTTTTTTTGTTCTTTTTGATATTTATGTTATAAGTGCTTTTTTTGGGATGTAAATTTGCGTTCCAGAAAAGAAAATGCTCTGGTTTTTCCAAAAACTGCACTTGTGAATAATCTGTATCCACAATATGGATAGCACATTATTGATACACTTTAACAATGAACATTTTACTGAAAACTGTGCATGCACATCAGAGAAATGCATATTTTAGAGCTATCCTATCCACCATCCACTCTGGTGCATGGGATCATAAAACCGAGAAGAAAATATGTAATGTGTAATCTGATTTAATCCACTGTACGTTACCAATTTACACCCAGATTCATTCAGATTTGCTTTCCAATTATAACCCAAAAGAATAAGCCCTTCACAACTCTCTCTGGTGCGTTGCTGTTTGTTCAGAGGCATCACAGCAGATTAATGATCTCTGTGGTAAACCGTCATCACACATGTGTGTGTGTGTGTGTGTGTGTGTGTGAACATGGGTGGGAGTTTGTTGGGAGAAACCACAGTCAATTACACCTTTACTCATCACATTTCAGGCCGACTGAAATTAGAGCAGTCGTGTGTTAACAGGGCAAAGACAAACAGGCTGAATTCCCTCCAGGAGAGAGAGGTTTCGACCCGACCTGGCAACCCACGCACCGCCAGACGGATCAACGACTCCGCTTTCATCGACTCAACTGCAGCGTCACTCATCTGCATCGTGAAGCCAAGACGTAGACTTGCCCCGGCACTTTCCCCGGCAAACGTGAAGCCTTAGTGCAGTTTTCCATCGCATCAGTAATCAGAAGGTGGGAATAATGGTCGGGCGAAGCGGGTTTCGAGGTCATTATTTGTGTTAAAGCATAGCTGCGCTAAAGACGTACTACAAAGCAGATGGCCCGGGAATTCATTCTTTGACAGCACATTAAAGTATGCAAGATTATGTTTTAAATAATAAATAAAAAAGCATGATGTTCATTTAGTAAATGACTGTCCCATGTAGAGTAAAACAGAAGATAACGCAGGGTATGCTTTGGGGCGTGGCTACCTTGTGATTGACAGGTCGCTCCCATGGCGTTCTCCGTGTTTACGTAGACGAACTTTAACCCTTTCACAGCGTGTTTTCATGAAGTGAATTGCAACATTTTGGTCGCTTAAAAGTGTTTTATTCGGCATTCAGTTGTACCTAGTGCTACCCTGTCATGCGACTCGTGGTTGCAGATAAACAAAATGGCGCCACCCCAAAATGCCAAACCTGAGGCTTCAAACCAATGGGTACAAGCTGTATATGTCCACTCCTTATACAGTCTAGGATTTTCATGTCCAGACTAAAGGTTGACAGCGTTATTATACACAACACATGCACC